GAGATGATAAGACGATGACACCGGGTGAACGGCACTCCCCAGGTGACACGTCGCATGGGGAGAGGGCAGCCTTGGGGCTGGCACAGAAGAAAGCTGCTTGCTTCAACTCCTGTCCACTCCGATGTTGCGGGGCTTCCTTGCTTCAGAGGTCTGGAAGGGTGTCACATGTGGAGGACAGGAATAGCTACCTCTTCGTGAGGTTGGCAATCACTGTAAGCTCCTGCGATGGGAAGGGGCTAAAAAGGTGGAGGAGCCTGACTCTTCCCATGTAGCCCTGTCCAGTTAATATCTGCTGGTTTAAGATGCAGACACAGCTCCACATCTAAGTGTGGTATCCCATCACTGCAGTGCTTGGACCACACTATTTTGCAAAATATATATGTATACGTATTTTAATGTTATATTTATATTATATATGCATATAAATATATATGCCATATAGATTTTATATAATGAAATTTTTTTGCATATACATATGCAAAAATATATATGCAAAAGACATATATATGTAAAATAAAAGCAACTATTTCTTATTCTATTGTGCTTCTACAATTGGCTCGTTTAGTACTGAACATTTCTGCTGTTATTTTTGTCATGGGGATGCGGTTCATTTCCTGGGTAAGAATCCTGCAGAACGACCTGATCTAATTAATTTTACCTCTTCTCTCTCTAGTTTTGTCCATCACCTCTTTAAGGTGGTGCTTGGGCTTTATTTAACTACGCTGCCTATTGCATTTTCTTGTCTTTTGGAGAGAAAATGTATTCCAGTTCCACAACTGAAAGAGCTTATATTCTCCTCCAGAGGTTCATTTGTAGCAGAGTGGGCAAGAGCTCAGGCAGATTCACCAGGAGGGAGTCCAACCAGGAGAGCATCAGTAGTAACTACAGCTTTACAAGGATTCACTATTTTGGGGATTATTGCAGTAGAAAGGATGGTATGGGTCTGTTCTTGGCGGAGGTTACCTGTTCAGCCTGCTTTGCATTTTGCGATTCAGTCCGTGCAAGTTGGAGGCAGAATTGCAGCCATGGACCATGTGCTCAGTGATGAGATGGACATAAAATGGAAAACTGAAACGTGGGTATGAAGGTGGAGAGACAGGGAAGGAGTATACTCAGTGCTATAAATTTTATTTCTAGTTTTTTCCTGCCACTGGGCCTTTCAGCAGATACGCAACTTCAATATTATTGTTGAATGTGGACACTTACAGTGGCCTTGATGTTTGCTCTTACCATCAGTGCACTGAATCTCCAAGAGAGATCTTTTTGGAGATTTTTGTGCTGGTGAAAGGTCAATGACTGGGTAAGGTCAATGTGAGGAGAGGAGTGAAAAAAGGAGGAAGGAATGAATCAGAAATTCTTTTAACTTGCAAAAAAAAGGATTGAGAGAGATGGAGGTTGGTGGTTACCCTGTGTCGATCCTCTTAGTGGCTCAGCGGCTCTCAGAGAAGAGCAATTGAAACCCAAGGCTCCGGCAGGTCTCCACCGAATCAATAGTCCTGGGGCCTTTGAAATATTAGATGGTGCTTCCAAGTGAGTGTAGCTGATCTCATGAGCTGTGTAGCAAGGATGACTCCTTTGCAAGCTGCCTGCCTTGGAAAACTGCACACTTTTCCCTTTTCTGAAGCATTTAGGAGATTTTTGTGGTGGGTTTCTTTGGGAGGCTGAGCTTCCTGCCCAACGTACCCCCCTCCTTCTGAGCCGAGAGTCAAAATCCTTGTGGCTTCTGTGGCTCCCTGTGCTATTTTTCTCATTATAATTGGAGAACAGGGTGTTCTGAGCAGCCCATTCTCATGTTCTCAACATTAATCCTTTTTTTTTTTTTTTTAAATTAGAAGTCCAGGTGACTCCTGGATATTTTTTTTTTTTTTACTTTTGAAATGAGATTGGAATTAGACGTGGGTTTGTTTTTCTATTAACTATCATGAGCTTAATATTACAAATTACTGTTCATAAGAATAATAGGAATGACCTGGAGTTCACCAGCTTTGCGTCGTAAAACTAGTCCTCACAGTTAGCGCTTTTCGCAGAAACACCAAAGCAAGGGGAGGACTCAGGCATGTTAAAGAAGGAGGAGAAGTTTGCAGGATTCATTTTCCAGGTGGACGACCAGGCGATCCAAAATGTAAGCCTTAGGTTTTGTACCTCAGCCACTTGTTTCGGTGCATCAGCACATTTAACGCAAATTAATCCCTCCGCACTCTCAAACTGTTGCAAATCCTCTGCATTATGAAGCACGACGGGAGTGGGAATGGAAAATGGATCTAAATTCTCCTGTGGCATTAGGTCGAAGTCTTGCATTAACTAATTGTAGCTGCCTGATTGTTCTATATTTAAACATTTGTGGCAGTGATAACATCATCGAACACCAAATAAAACCACTGCCTTGTGCTTCCTTATATTAATTTCCTTTCCTGTACTTATTTTGAAGCTGTGCAGGTACGTATAGGAAAGCAGGTTACTTCCCCGGACTGTCCATCATGTGCCCGGGCATCCCTGAAAAAACAGTAATTAATAAAAGAAATAGCCTTTTTAATGAAAGACACAAAAATTAGGTAGTCAGAATCCATGTTATTAAAATGATAATACCAGAAGGGGACACAACGGGATTTATTCATACTACCCTTTATTATAAAATATTGGAATTTATTCATCTGAGCCTCCACCAGGTTGTCGTGTTTATTTTTAGCGCTGATGTCTAGTACAGATTTAACATTAGGAAAATAGGAATTTCTGTTTCAGGTAAGTTTAGAGTGCTAAATACTTTTTTTTTTTTTTTTAATGTTTCATGTCCAAATTGACCAAGAAACATTCAAATTTGCTACTGGAGCTACTTTCTTGGTTCCACTGTTCATTATTATTTGCCTGTGGACAGCCTAACGTTAAAAAATAAAGGCTGAAAGAAAACAGATCTGATCTGTAATATCTAATAGGGATTTGCACAGACTTCTGTTTGAAATAATTTGTGTGGCAGCTGATTGCGCTTGTCCATCACCAGATGGACAGGTCTGATGGGAAACTACGCAATCTGGATTGCCATCAGAAGCAAGAGGGATAAGTTCTCCAGAAGTATATGCTTAGTGATATTAAACCTTAATATTTTTTGCAAGTTTTGGTAAATTCTGCTCAGCCCAGATTTTACCTTAACTTTTCTTCATTGCTTCATTCCCTGTGTGTCAGCTCACTTCTCGCCCTGCTCCCTTGAAACAGCCTGCTTTGATTTAGATGGGATAATATCAAATCATTTAGTTCAAACAGTTGAACTAAAGTCCAGATGCCATTTATTCAAAATGAAACAAAAAAAAACCCAAACCAACCCAAACCCCAACCCCAAACCAAAAATGTTTTTATCACTTTCAGTCTGCCATAAATGCAGAATTTCTTTCTGCTTTGAGCTGTGGTCAAACCACATAGCGAAGACAGCGCCGTGTAGCACCAGTTCAATAAATAACTAGGCAGCTCTACTGCATAGAAGAGGAAAAATGTTTTTCTTTATTTTATGTGGATTGTTTAGGTCTTTGTACCCTGTCTCCCTGAAGATTAAATGGCAAACACAGGCTTCATGCAAAGCTAATAATTATCAGTCTCAGTGTGAAATGCAGAATAGCTCCTTTGGAAAAAGAAAAGTTTCATGTGGGCTTGGAAAATGCTTGTGGCTGCGGGGAAAATAAGAAGCCACAAATCTGGGGACTGAAACCCCAAGTGGTTTTAAAACAGATGGAGAAATACATGCATACATATATACATATTGAAGAACTTACGATGAAAACTTTGGCCATAGGTGGGTGGACTCTCATGTATTAGGGTTTATTTCTGAATCATTTGTGGTGGTGTTGGAAATCTCTTTGCCAGCTGAGAATCAGCCTTTTGGGTTTGATTTGCGTAAGCTGTATGTGTCTTTGTGGACATCTGAGTACCAGTTTGATTTCTGACAAAGATGGGATGCTGAGGATACCATCCCTCCTTACGTTTTCCCTGCGACCTGAACCATTATGTGAACAAAGCAAACGCAGAGGGAACTGTTCAAGGTTATGGTACGCAGCCTGGGAAGAGTGTGGAAGGTGCCATGTCTCATATCAGCCCGCATTTCTGTTACCAAGAAAATATAAAAATAGGTATTACATTAAATAAATTGCAATTGCATGAATGTTGTCTCCTAACCTAAAAGGCAAGCTGGATTTCTGATGGGGCTTGACGACAGACAAGCCGCTTGTCTGCTGGCTGAAGCCAAATTCCTACAAGAAAACCAAAATAGAAGTCACCAAATGGCACCTCTTACTATAAAGGGGGAAAAGCATTTAACTGGCAATATTACTGTGAGCAGCTGCTGGGGGAATTTAGCGAACTAAGAGGCCTGGTAGGTCAATGATGAGGTTCCTTTCTGATTTGGTGGTGACTAAGAGGGGATGGCTGAGATGGAAAGGATGGCTGCGTTCCAGCTATCTTTGGGATGGGTACCGGTCCCTCAGAGCAGGCTGGGGATGGCTCAGGGTTCAGAAGTTACCAGGGTTACACCGGCGAGCAAGCAAACAACTCCCTTCCACCTCATCTCAGGAAATCAGGCTAAAAATAGGTTGCTGAGGCTTAAGGTTAAAAGTAAAGACGTGACCAAGCAGTGCCGTTGACAAGCCAGCTCTGCTCATCCCGTACAAACATCCAAGGACTGCATTTCCCTGCCAGAGCCGGTGCATTTGTTACTAGCTATAGAAAAAGGCTTTGTGAAAGTTGTACCTTAGCTAGCAACATCTTCTGACCCGAGAGTAATGCTGACGGTTGGGTTTTCCCTAAAACACTTGGAGTTTTAGAAATGGCTTTTCAATTTAGCAATAGGCCAAGTACTTAGAAATCTGGTTCGTACCGAAGTGAAGCTGGTGACTGAAGGAGTGAGAGGAATTACTTGAAGGTAGGGCGGTGAGATTACTGGGTCCCCATGCTGTTGGACTGTCAGCTTGGTGGGGGATGCGCCCTGTTTCTAACCATTGCGTTTGCCTTCTTTACCGAAGGTCCAGTTGAAAAGCGAAGAATCGAAAACGTTTGCCATGAAAATACTGAAGAAGCGTCACATAGTGGACACGAGGCAGCAGGAGCACATCCGCTCGGAGAAGCAGATCATGCAGAGTGCGCACTCAGACTTCATCGTGAGGTACTGTTCCTCTGCCTTACGCGCTGCCATGGGGGAGCGAAGCACAGCTGATCTCAGCATTTCATAAAACCACATAGGAATAATCCACCCATCACCAGCAAACCCTTTAGCCATAGCTTCCCTGCAAGGGACTGCCGATACAGTGCATGGAATAAGGTCTTCTCCAGGCAAACATGAGATTACTCTGCCCATGGGGCACATCCAGCCAAGCCTAAACTTAACTCGTGTCTTAACTGGTTTGCGTTGGCCCCATCCCATGCTCACATGGCTTTGTGGCTCCAGGAGCAAGCCCATCCCTAGCCTGCAGCGGGGACAGAGCTTGCCGATGCCGGCGGGCGATGCTCCATGCAGACGTACACAGCGTGACTTGGCGTTGCCAATGCTCAGGGTTAATTTTCCTCTTCTTTCTGCATTTCTCTATTTTCCTTCCCGCAAAGTAAAGCCAGAAGGCAGAGATCTTTTGAGATCAGGTGCTGCCATGTGAATAGATAGTTGTATCCAGCACTTCTCTTTAGGCTGTATTAGATAGACCCCACTCAGCATCCGTTGGCTCATCATGGGCAAATGCCTAAATCGTATTGTTCCCCAAAACCTAAGCAGATGCAATTCTTCAGTGAATAAAATCAGGTGCTGGGTATTTTTGTTTGTTTTAACCCTAACAGCGAAGTTCTCTAACTCTTCAAGGATTGTTGAAGCAGAGATGGTTCTTTATATGGTTTAGGTCAGGAGAAGAGCAGCGGGTGGTGAGGACCTCTGGCAGGGCAATGCATTTCACCGAGCTGGAGGTATCTGAAAGGGCGACCTCTCGTCTAAGCCAAGGGTGCCGTGTCCCACCCTCGAAGAGATGCCTGAAGCACTCGCTTTTTTGCTGGAGGAGATCAACCCCGCTCCCAAAAATTGCTCCAGAGAGACATACTAACCCAGGGGTGAAACCAAACCCCTGTGATAAAAATGCAAAGGCAAGCGCGTGGCCGGGACGGCCAGCCATCAGTCACTAAGGGGGTGTTTCCTTCCCAGCCTGATCCCTGGGATTCCCCCGGAGGCCGTGGCTTCGCCTCTGATTCATGGGTGACAACTGCAGCCTGACACCCTACCCGGCTGCAGTTTCCTTCACGCTGTAATATTTGATTCACAAACATGCCCCCGTTACCTAGGCTAGAGCCAAATATACCTTGCGGGCTATTTCAGCCTATAGATTTATTTTCAGAAGCCTGAGCTGTCTCGGGATGGGGATGTAAAGGGAGGTGAAGTGCAGGCCCAGCCAACCGGAGGGACGTTTTGACACCATATCCAGAAATAACCCCTCCTAAATAAAAAGCCCGAGCCTGCAAACGTTTCTTAATGGAGCCACTGATATTCATAGCTAATAAAATAAATACGTCTTTCCCACTTTTTATGCTTTCAGTAGGCAGGTGAAAAAGGGATACATTAGCCATAAGTCTTTTCCTTCCATACTTTTTCCATAAAGTCCAACCTTTTGCTATTGCATGTGCCACAGCTGGAAAATCCTCTCATTTAGCAAACTCTGTGTCTGCTTTTCCCCCTCGCTTCTCCTTTTGTATGTCCACCAGGATTTGAAGTTGTTATAGTTTCTATCCTAAAATTATTCATAACCTGTTTATACCCTTTCTTGGGCCAGATGGGATAATATTTTTCTGGGTGCTACGGGCAGAAATCTTATCACTTTGGTAGATCGTGTTTTGAGATGCCGGGTGAAAGGTGGGCTTAAAATGATCTTGGAGGAAGGACACAATCTCTGGGACAGCAGGACGGGAAAGACAAAATTCCCGAAGAACCCGACTATTTTCTTAATTCATCATGAAACTGTTCGTTAAAAATCTTTGAAGAATAATTCAGTTTGGTTATTAAAATGAATTAAACCAGGCAAAAGAAGCAGAAGAGGCCAGGTTTCACTAAATAAAACTTACTCATAGATAAACTAAGAGTTTTACACACCAAAATGCTCCGTGTGGGTTTGGTAAAGGGCCAAGCAAGTGTTGAGCCGTGGATGTCTGCACTGGATCTGCAAATACTTAGATGGCTGAGAAAATGAATAAAAAATGAATTCAAATATTGTGACATTGCACACTTACAACTGCTTGATCTACTGAAATACTGTGGTTTCATCATTTACGCTTCCACTACAGTTGCTAAACAATATTTGACTGTTCTTTTTCTGCACACTTTAGGCCAGATTTGAGGCCCATAAAATTTTCTGGAAAGCAGTTTTTCAGCAGGGCTGCCTTAACTAGAGAAAGTAATGCTTTATTTCAGTAGCATTTAAATTACCAAGCAATTAAAAATATTTAGTTACTCATATTTTGGATTCTTGAATATGTAGGTTTTCTGTAAACCTTAATGTAGATGAAATGTTTATTAAGATAAATTATATTTCGTCCAAGTAGTGAGAAGTAGGGCTTTTTTGTTAAACCTGTAAATTTTACCCATATGAAATGGTCACTAAGTTTGTTCCAACTTTTTCTGAGAAGCGTGTTATAACTGAGGTTTTAAAGGTCAACATAGGTAATACTGGAGTAAGGAAGGATCTGGAACACTGGTTTGTTTTTGTTTTTCCTTTGAATTTGGCTGTGGCTGCAAATAGTACCTTTTAGCTACTGAATATTGCCCAGGTAGATCAGCACTGAGCATATTCAGTACCCAGACTCCTGCCTACATCGCAGCTGCACCTGCTGGGATGTTTTTCTGTTAAAACGTGCCAAAAACATAGCGGGTAGCTGCTGCTAAGCTGCGTGCTGGATGCTACGCAAACACAGACAGGAGACAAATGTTGTCTAGTATCATGATGTGAAAGCGTATCGGAGCCAAGCTGTAACTGCCGGGGTGTTTTGCCACATACCTTAAGTTAATATTTACCTGAATGCCTTCAAAAGGAACTGAATCCTGCTGTGTTTTCCCCCTGGTCCATCACACAGCTCCGTAAAAGGTACTAATAACTGGATTTATCACTAGCTGGGAAGAGCTAGAATCTGCAAAGCCACCTGTTTTAATTTATATTGTGTTGCATCAGCCCTTTAATTTTTAACTCTTGGATATTCCCATGAATGGAGCAAGTACACCACAACAGAATATCCCTCAGCATCCCCTTCTGCTGCAGAGCTCCGATTTTTTAAAATTATCTTCCAAGCAGTGCTGCTGCAAAGAAACCTTTCCGGTATCCACATGTAGCGGGCTCGTTCCTGCAGGCAACCTGAACCGATACACCCACACATGTAACAAGAAGTACAAAGGTAGTTCAACATTAAAATTAAAAAAACCAGCCAATGCTGAAGTTCCTATATTTAATTCCGTAGTTTCATAGTTGCATTTGTTTAATATATCGTATTAAACACAGAGCACAGATTTTTACCACACAATTTAGATTGCACTTGAGAAGGAGGACGGGTTCATAAAGCCTGTCCCATCTGTCCCTTTAGGCAATTTTTCCTCTGTGTTCAGTCCTGGGAGGAAGAGGAAGAGTACTTTTAGATATCTGCATGTCAGTGGGTTCTATTTAAACCCTACCAAATCAGCGGGGTTAAGTTCGGAAATGACTCACAAATTGGGTGGCGCTCCTTTGAAATGATCAAATGGAAGGAAGGCTGCCGATCTGCAGCCGGACTCTGTAGCGTGAAGAGTAAGATGATGTGGCTGTTATAAAAAATGGTAGAAAAACCTCTCTTTCAAGCACATCTGGAAAGCCAAATGTTCAGGTTATGCTGTTAGAAATGGCAGATTTTATATGTAGCACCCAGAGGAGTGGTGACCTCTTCTTCTGAGGTCCACAGTACGCTTCACCACCCCGATGCCCATCCTTTTCTGCTGAAATATTTCCCACCCAAGAGGAGACGTTGAAATGATCTCCTTAAACGTAGCACTAGCTCTGAAAGATTCCCCTTAGTCTTGTGGTGCTTCCTGGGACGAAGCCCACGGTCCATAAGAAGTGGTAACAACTGGTCCCTTCGCTTGTATCATGGATTTATTTATGATTTTCTCATTTGCCAATGACAGGCTCTACAGGACGTTCAAGGACAGCAAGTACCTGTACATGCTGATGGAAGCTTGTCTAGGTGGAGAGCTCTGGACAATTCTCAGGGACAGGTGAGTTTTAAGAAACTATCTTCCTACAAAGTGGAATATTTTCTAATACGCCTCCAGATAACCGAAGGTCTTTATCTTTCATGGGCAAAATCTGGATCTTACCATGCTATGTTTGCTTTAAGATCCCAGAAAGGTGAGGAGCTATTTTTGTTCCTATGCAGTTGACTAGAGACAAAGTGAATCCACTTATAACTGAGAATAAGGACTGATTTAGGTTGTATCCAACATGTACAAGGCTTTATGTAAGTGGAGACTTACCCAGAGCTACTTTCTCATGGCCTCTCTGAAAAAATATAGAAGCCAGTGATGGTAGTCGTGTGATAAATTGCATCTATGACAAGTCTTTGACTGCCCTTTCCCTGTGTCTTCATCTCTAAAGGGTACCCCTAAACAGCTGGCAGCATATTTTAATTTTAATCCAAATAATTAATTATTTAATTTATTTATTTTTTTAATTACCTAGAACAACAACCTTTTGCAACCACAGAAATTACGGCTGTGTCCTTGGTGCCCACACCAAGGTTTCTCACATTTGGGAGCCTGGCTGGAGGCTTGGACACCTGATAGAGAAACGTGGGACTGTCTTAAGGGTGACAAAGACTTTGGGCACCACGTGCGATGGCAGAGAATGACCCTGCAGGGTGTGGCCAGGCATTGCAGGAGGTGCAATGTCAAGGCCAGCCTTCCTGCATTCC